GTCTTTGAGGTTCGTCCATGTTGAAGCATGTATTTCCTTTTTATTAATAAATAGTATTCTATTGTATGAATGTACAACATTTTGTTTATCCATTTACTCAAACTATCAATATTCACTATTAGATCACGCTTAGAAAATGTATTCTGAGGAACCTACCAGATGTAGTCAGGTCTGGGGTACCCAGGATGGAGTCACATCTGCTCTTTTTTATATTTGGGGATTCTTGGATAAGCATTCCTTCCCTGGAGTGGACTCAAAAGCTGGACTCAGCCTGAATCTTCTGGTCGGGAGTCCTGGGTCAGTGACTCAGGGCTCAGTCTCTCCTGCCCTCATCTCTGAGGTTGTGGTGGATGAAATCCAGCATCTACAGGCAGGAAAGCCCTGCACCAATTGGCAAAAACACTCACCCCTTGGCAGTCATCTGAGGGTGGCATAAGTAGAAGGTCTCTGTCAACAGGATGACAGTTCAGTATACCCAGCAACAAAGCTTGGGAATGTCCAGCTTCTCATGCCTGGCAGGCTTCCTCAGTCTTGGTAAATTAACAATTCTGCCTTTCTGTGTTTCTAGGGTGCCTTGGCTTAGGCCTGAACAACGTATTTGGGTTATGTAACTAGCTCTTATTTCCTTTGATTTACATTTACTGAGCATCAATTATGTGCTAGGCTATTTGCATACACTGCCTGATTAAATCCTTGCAATGATCTTAAAAAGTGGCTTCTATTATACTTATTTTACAGATGGGGAAATTAAACTTCACAGAGTTTAAGTTATTTGTCCAAAATTACCCAGGCAATAAATAAATAGTAAAATCAAGATTTGAACCCACTTTCTCTAGGGCCAATTTTCCCTACATACTAACAAGCTACTTTGAAGAAGTATCAATAAAAAAAGGCAGACAGGGGATAGAGGGGAATTTACTTTATTATGGTAGAATGATGGGGAGGGTTGGAACAGGGCTTTTCCAGTGTTTTGGGGGGATAGAAAAGGGGCCAAGGATGGATACCTGTCAGAATCATGAGGGTGGGGGATGTGTTATGGAAAGAGGCTCCCACCTGTTCGGGTTGAAGGGGCTCCCAGGGTGATCCCATTAGCCTCTGTTCCCCCATTTTATACCATTGCTTGGTTTATAACCTAGCTACATAAATTACTGCAAGCATCAGATAGTTTTTAAAAGATGTTAAATAATTAATACTCCATTCTGTTATATTGAAAATAGATAATAAATGGAAATGTAAAATATTAAGAGACCTCCCAGGATCTTAGCTGCCGTGGATTCTGAGGCATAGAATGACCACACCATCTGCTCTTATCAATAAACTACTTGGCTTCCCAACCTTGATTCACACTTTTTCCTCTGTCCAAATATTTTTCTTCTATATTTGGGTTGCTTGAATCCTTCTCACCTTCATTTCTCATCATGAATATCAGGTCCTCCTAAGAGGCCTCCCCTGTCCACCCACTTTAAAGTAGGTTATTTCCTTTCTTAGAGCATCTTTTCTTAACCTCCAAATCCTTCATCACAATTTGTGATTATATATTTGTTTACAGACTTGTTCATTGTCCGTCTTGGGCCTCACCCATTACACTGCAAGTTCCCTGAGGGCGGGGAGCAAGTCTGCTTTGATCAACACTGTAGGAGGCGTCTTCAAAAGTTCATGGAAAGAGGGGCTGGCCCGTGGCTCACTCAGGGGAGTGTGGTGCTGATAACACCAAGGCCATGGGTTCGGATCGTATATAGGGATGGCCGGTTCGCTCACTGGCTGAGCGTGGTGCTGACAACACCAAGCCAAAGGTTAAGATCCCCTTATTGGTCATCTTTAAAAAAAAAAAAAAAGGTTCATGGAAAGATTAGTATTACATTTTAATTCTATTTTTCTATGAACTTTTTGAAGTACCCTTGTATAACCACCTGCTAGCGTAGTGCTTAGTACTTAAAAAACTCAATGAAATACGAACAAATCTCTATCACAAACAAATCACTGACTAAATATCTATGAAATACCAAGGAATGCTTTTGCAAACCTTTACAGTTTGCCTTTATGATATCTTTACCAGTACCCTGACGAGTAAACTATGTGGTGTTGTTTGTTATAAAGAATTTGGTATCTAAATTTATAGGTGCAAATATTGCCTCTGCTGCTGTGGACAAATCTCTTAGCTCCTCTGAGTTCGAGCTTCTGTATTAATTATTGTTGGGTTGAGATTACCTACCTACATTTGATACTTGTACTTGCGAATTTCAAATGAGGCTTTGTATGCAATAGAGCTTTGTCAACTGTGACCTGCTGCACAACTGTCACCTATTGTCTCACATTCAAAGGATGTGAAAAAAATCAGCAGTCCTCTCTTTCTCCCTTCTTTTGTCTTCTGAACTTCTAGAATATATCACAGAAGAAAATAGTAAGAAAACAAATAGTTCAGAATCAAAGATGGTCTGTTAAAGAAAGAGCAACAATCAATACTCACAGTACCTCAGCACTCAAAGAAGCAGAGAATTCTAATGGCCACAGGCAAATTATGTCCTCTGAGGATCCTAGATTCAAGAAGACAGAGGGGAGCAGCCTTGTGAAAGAGGTGAAACAAAGGCTTTTCAAATGCTCCAGAATCACTTGGAGACTGAGATATTACCCTGGTATGGTTATTAAAGTTGATTTCTCCAAACCATTTACTCAAAGGGGCCACCTAAGGACAACTGGCTACCTACATTCAAGTTACATTTATTTTTAAGAACATAGTTTGAAAAAGGCTGGTAATAATTTCTACATGTGCTTTTATATCGGAGACTTATAGGATCAATTTTTTTTTTTTTTTTAGTAAAGATGGCTAAGAAGGAAGGTTTAAAATGTTGGTTCATAATATGCAAAGGAAGACTACACATTCGCTAGCTGCATTTAAATTGCATCATGTAATATGTGGTATTTTTCCCTCTTCTGGATTTACTTTAAAAATATTAACAAGTGGGATAGCTGTTCCATATTTTCAAAGTGGTTAACAATGAACTTCTAACTTAAATACTTGTAACGTTTATTAATACCACTATAATCTTTGTTTGGAGCTTCTTTAGCTACCGATGATGTTTAAAAAGTACTTTAAAAAATATAGGAAACTAAATTTAATAAGTACTTAAAATAATGACAAAATTTACAATAAAGAAAAGTGTTTATGCTAATATTAAGGCCAGAATGTTAAGAAACTGCGTTGCAGGGTTTGTAAGGGTTTGCTTGGGAAAGCGGAGGTTTGCAGCATAACATCTGATTTCGTGTGTCTGTGCCAAGGGGTTTTGCTTTTTGTCTTTTTCTTTTTTATAAGCGACCACTATGGTGACGTGTTTAATATGGATGAGTTCGACCTCCTGGGAGTTATCGGATACACACCATTTTTGAATACAAATGACGTTTAGTCAACTTGGTAAACACGTAGAATTTGGGAGATTAACATCTTAATCGACTCTAATCTCAGTATTTTCTGCTTCCCGCACTTTTTTTGTCCAAAAAAAGTTTGATAAGCCAACGTTGGGAACGACAGCTAACGTTCTGTCATTAGTCAGGTCTGTGTGACAGATAAAGCAGGGCCATGTGTGACAACCTTTCCCAAACCATATGCTCAAGCACATTGACAGTGTTCAAGGAGAGAATCAATTATTCAAGAAACAGAACAATACATTCATTCAACAAATACTTACTGAAGACCGTGCGGAAGCGGGCAGAGGGGCGCGGAACGTGCTGTGCAGGGGGCCATGATCTCGTGACTTCTCTACACCGGAATTTGGCTTCCGTTTTTCCCGGTGTAATATGTTCTTCCTTTTTGCTAACTTTTCTTGTGGCAGGTGCGGGAGCTTTGAAGTTCCGTGTGCATCTTCCAGCGGACGCTTTCTTCAGGGGGAGACAACGCATTCCGTTCGCACGGTGGAGATGGGAGTCCCTAGACGGCGGACACGCTTTTCGCGCGCGGGTCCAGGGAGGAGCGGCGGGGGG